ATTGATGTATGTATGGATTGTGATAAGAGTTGTATGAGCCCCTAATAAAAACGATTAAAAAATAAATAAAAAATAAATCCTTCCCCCCCCAAAATGTAGGTCGATTCTAATTGTGAAGTGTAAATAATGAATTACTTTACAGCTGCTCTTCTTCATAAAGCCTAATCCTAAATTATGGAATGCAACTGTTATTATATATAACCGCACAGGGCTAACAACAATAAAAAATGTATACCCTATGAGCCCAACCTAACTAGCTCCCACCTTTCTCCACCAGGTTTCAAGTATATCCCAGGTTACTCAACATTAAGGGAGAAACAAAAAAAAGTATATCGAGTCCCAAGCTCAAATGAAACTAAAGATAATCCACTGTATAATAAGATGCTAAAAGTACATTCAAGCTAAAATCACAACACAATAAGGGTACGTACACACTTCAGAACAAACGAATCTTTTTTTGGTTCTGACCTAAGATTTACAAGACTGATGCAAAAGCTGAAATTAATGACGAAGTTCATCCTAAAATGATCAAATAAAACTACGCATGGTAAAGACCGCTTTATTGGTGGCAGTTAGTACAAGTCAATAAATATTGATCCCCAAAGAAGAGTTGTTATTCATTCATTCACTGGTCCATAGAGCACTGGGTTAAACAGAACCAACTGCTGGAAGGGTAAACTGAGTCAATCCTGCTTCTTGGGAAATGAAGCCATAGCCAGCTGATATATGGCATATGCTGTTCCTAAAAAATAAAACAAAACTTCTAAGAAACTGAACTTTACATTTACAAGCTACTATTCCAGCAGATTAAAATGATTACAGTAAAGTTAAAGTAGGCATTAAGGCTACTTTACTGGGAATACAAGAAAGCATTTTGATAGGTGCTTGCAATGTTTAAATAAAACACATTTACTCTAGTTATATTAGTTAATGTTAAAATGTTATTAGCTATGTCACAATATATTTATCAACTGATATTCACACTAACCTGGGCTAAGAATGAGTCAAGAGACATAAAACTATGTAAGCTTTCCCCAAAGTGCACTATCAATGTAAAATAAGAAGTGACACATTTAATGCAAGAATAGCTAATTGCTGGAATTGTTTTTAAGACCAGAGTCCTAAAATATAGTCACACTGGCCAAAAATTTATATAGCATTTATTAAGCACATTAAAATGCTACTCTCTGTCTTCCTGCTCAAAAACGGTAATTCAAATCAAGGAAGGCATCTTAGAATAATCAGGAATTTCGCACCAACGATTCCACTCCCAGCTTTTCACTTAGATGCAATGTTGTCTTGGGCAATACACGATTGCTCGTCTTCAGGATGAAGATACATCATGAACTTCATGCAAAGGTCATGTGTGCAGTCCACCCAATAGGATGAACACACAGTAATGACTGCAAAGGATTAGCACCTGACAGGAGGATGTGATTTGATACAGTCACTTACGAACTTGAGAAACGGTTCCCTTCTCGTATGAATGTTGACAGTGTTCCCCTAATCATACCAGTAACTCTTCTAGCCTACACCAATTTTAGAATTGCTGGCAAAAGACTTATAGTGGCAAAGTCTATCAATTACATCTTTTCAGCACATCCTCAAGGAATAGTAATTTAAGATGCAAGCTAGTTTATATCACTCCCTCTTCCCCATGGCATTTAGAATGAAATCCATCTAATTCTTTGCTTACAAAACCTTTCCCCTGACTGCTGCTTACTTTTCTTGACTTCACCCTGGCCTGGCCTGATCTTGCCTATCCAAACCTTCCAGAAAAGGTACTTCCACAGGGGTCTCCTCCTATTTATGTAATCTGAACAATACCACTTACCTGCAGTTGATGTACTTATTTACAGACTATTCTCACTAAGCAAAAATATATACCGTATATACTCGAGTATAAGCCAGGTTTTTTCAGCACATTTTTTATGCCGCTTATGTGGTAAAATTAAGTGCCTCGGCTGATATTTGGGTCGGCTTATACTCGAGTATATCCGGTACTCTATGAAGAGACAAACTGGTGACTTATTCCCAGTACAAGTTCCAGTTCACATTCCCACTGCCATCGAGTTGACTGACTCCTAGCCACTCTTTAAGACAGAGCAGAACTGTTTCGTGGGTTTCCGAAACGTAAATCTTCATGGGAGGGGACAGTGTCTTTCCAATGCAGAGCAGCTGATGATTTTGAACTGCTGACTTGCACTTAACAGCCTTTGCAGTAGGCAACCCACACCACCACCAGGGAAATCACTAAGGACTTAAAATGGCTCCACAACGGATGTCACTGGATTTTTCAAAGTGTAGGTAGCAGCCCATTAGCAGGTCATGAAATCATTTTGTGGTTTGAGATCCATTTTTTAAAAAATGAAATAGAAAACATCAAAGTTCAGTTAAGTACTGCTTTGTGTGAGTTTTGTTTCAGTCCTAAATATGAACATGTACAATTTGGATACTAAATGTGTTTTTTATTGTGCATCCGTCAAAAGCCTTAAAAGTCTCTGCTCTAAGAAATGAAGCAGAGCAGCCTTATACCAGATGTGGCTGGCTGAAAAAGTCTCGCCAGGGCCACCCAGGGCACACTGAGCACATCACCCCGATCAGAAGACAACCATCACGCTTCAGTGGTATACTTTCCTAAATATGATGCTGCTATACAATGTGCATCAATTCCCTTCTCAAGGGACAGTAAGACCTCAGATCCTGGAGACAGGCTCCCTGGGTTAAAATAAGGTCACGGTAAAGCAGTGAAGACATGGCTTGTCTATTATTACTATTACTTTTCTAGAAACCTGAAAATATTCCAAATGCCTTACCTCCGACTGTAAGAACCATGGTTGCTCTATACAGTAGGGCATCAGCTGCTCCACCCTTTAGATGCACTGGAATCCCATTGTTCTCCTAGGTCAAAATATAAAACAGTAATAGCTGTGAACACATGTCCTGAAAAGCTAAATTTCAATAGGTTAACCCACTTTTCCTGAAATGACATGGCCCCCACAGCCTCAGAGTGAAAGTATCTTAAATACGGAAATTAAAAAGGCTTAGCACTTTCCTGACTCTCTTCTACTACTAGGAAAAGAAGAACTCCTAAAACTCAGCGCTCTTTTTACCATTATCGTTTATGTGAGAGGCAATGAATACTCCTTTTCTTTTTTAGATACTCTTTGGAAGGAACACATAAACCTCAAATCTGTGAAAATATTTGCATTGAATTCACCAACTCAAAGAATTGTCATCACACTTTAAACTTAATTAGACGTACGGAAGAATCACCTGCCTCCCTAAAAAGGGGGAGGAAAGGTGCTTTTATAGTTTATAAACCTAAATCACACCCAGAGGACCTAGTCCAGCACGTGGCATAACTTAGATTTAGTAGATCTGATAAATAGACGCTTTGCATGTAGTATATGTGACTCAATTTTTAAAAAAATAACTTGTAATTTTAGTTGATAAACACTATAAATCACAATCGAACAAAAACACTCACATTCTCACCACATAATAAAGTTAAAGTGCTCCGCCACATCGGTCTATCCTAAAATACCAGTACTAACAGCATGGCATATGTCCTGTATTTTTTAATGTGTATCTAGACTCACCTCCCAGTTTGAGCTTAAGCTTTGTAAGCCGACAGAGATTACAGTATGTAATGGTCTGTCACACATTACTGTCCCTCAGTACGTTTGCTAGTTGCTGTCAAGCAGGCGCTGACTCAGTGGGACTGCTTCCCTAGCTCTGCCCCAATCCTCACAACCCAATGTTGCAGCCACTGCTGTCCATCTCCTTCGCTGAGTCTTCCTTTTTTAAAAAAATAAAAATAAAAATACTGACCCTCTACCAAGCACAATGTCCTGCCCCTGGGATTGGTCTGTCCTGATAAAATATCCAAAGTATGCAAGACAAAATATCCCTGTCCTCAGTTTGTGTAAGGGGCATTCTGTTTTGTTTCCTTCAAGACAGATTTGTTACCTCATTTGTTTATTACTAAAACCCATTCTGTTGCGCGTGTGCAAGCTGATTCCAACTTACACCAAACCCATGTGACAGACAACTGACCCACAGGGTTTTTCAAGGCTGCAATCTTTACAGGCGCAAATCGCCACATCCCCCAACCATGGAATCCTCGATGCCCTCGCACCTCTGACTTTTCAGTTAGCAGCTGAGCACTTAACCACTGCATCACCAGGCCTCTCTACAAACCATTCACTGTGAGTCCATTAAATCTCCCTAATCCTTTAGCTTTTAAGTAACACCACTGTGCAAATATATCACAGAATTGGCCACTCCTCTATTACTAGATTATTAAGGTGGTTATACTCAGGACCCCTGGTGGCGCTGTCAGTAAAGACTAGACTGCTATCCATAAGGCCCATCGTCCACGCCCTCTAGCTATAGGGCTGTCTGCTCCTGCACAGTTTACAGCCTTAGACATTATATAGGGTCGCTATGAACTGGAACTGACTTGATGGCAGCAAGTTGGGTTCTGGTTATGCTATTATTTCTGTAGGAAAGATTCTTCAACAAGAATTCCTAGTTGGTAGGGTATGTGATTTATTATTTCAAATACCCTTCAAAACTTCTGTAACCCTCTACATCACCATTTAAGTACCATAAAAATAACTAACACACACACACACACACATTAAAATTTATCTATCTCCCCTATCTGGTGAACAGAACCTATTTTAACTCTTCTTAAATTTTTGCCATTCATATAGGGAAAAAGAATAGTAACCTGTTATATTATTTTGCATTCATTTTTGATTGTTAGGAACTGTTCGTATACTAAGGACTTGAATCTTTTGTTATATTTTGAAAATATGTGCTCTCAGTTTGTCTCTTTTCTTGATTTTCACTTTTGTTTCAACAAGCCTTGCAACTGCAAGCCCCTTTTTCAGCTTTTACACTTAGTGAAGACTTCCTTAGGAAAACTTTACCACTCAGAAGATTTTAAGAAATATTCTCCTAGTTTCTTCTAATTTTGGTGGGGAGGCAGGGCATTTGTATCTGCATCTTATTTCTTAATATACATAAAGAAGAGATATAACTTTACTTTTTTGAGTGAGCCAAATTATTTTAGCCTTTCCCTTGATAAGAAATAACACCTTTAACATACATTAAGTTTCTTCATATGAAGCTTTTGTTACAAAAAAACCCATAAACCTCTATGAAACAAAAATGACAAAATGCAAAAAAAGTTAGTCTCCTGACATATCTCCTAAGAAACTCCCAAATTTCTGAGAAGGCAGTGTTTCCCTCTCTCTAGTCCTTCCCCGAAGATACTGCGCTCTTCTATCTACACCAGGTCAAAACGGCAGCTTTGTATCCACAAGGGAGTCCACTTATGCTCCTTTTCAATGTTCTTTGAATTTTAACAAAAAGAAATCTGAAAGATCACGTAGCGTAAGTAAGCTCCTAAGGGGTTCCTTACGAAATTCTCATAGGACAATCCTGTGACCTGCAGGATGTCCAGGTGCATCGAATAAGACAATCCTGTGGCCTGCAGGATGTTCAGGTGCATCGAATAGGACAGTCCTGTGACCTGCAGGATGTCGGTACATCGAATAAGACAATCCTGTGGCCTGCAGGATGTTCAGGTGCATCGAATAGGACAGTCCTGTGACCTGCAGGATGTAGGTACATCGAATAGGACAATCCTGTGACCTGCAGGATGTCCAGGAGCACCGATAAGATGGAAATCAGTCCTTGGATCAGCTTCCCCGGCTGTTCTCACCAATGTGGTTTTCAATATTCTTGCAATCTCTTTACAATAAGCCCATGATTTTCTTCTCTCTTACGAGCAAAAACTTACTAAGATTATACCTTTGGAGTCCCCAAAACAATCACTGTAGCCTTCTAAGCTGACCTCTGGTGTCCGGATTTGAACTGGTCCAGCAGGTCTACACAGAAGCCACTTTTGATGGAACTTTTTTTTTTTACGGCAATCTAACAAGTGTATTATAAAGAACACTTGTTTGCAACCATCCACTGATCACAGACATAGTTAAACATGTTCTGTGTGGAATAAACCCATGCACATATAAACTGAAACCCTAGTAGCTATACTCTCCTATTTACCCTCAAATATTTCTGTTCTGCTTCTGGATTTTTTCTATGGTCTATTCATCTACTCCTAAACTTCAACTCAATGCAACTCTGCCAAAGAAGGTGTCCTTCACCAATGCCATTTCCCATCTTATTTCTTTCTACTTTACCAAAGTCCTCTTGGGTACAGCAAATGCCCAGGTAGCTATCAGCTGACAGTTCCTCGTTCTTTGGCTAGAACAACATGATCACTAACAAGTAAATACCTCCAAATTTACCTCCCATTTCACCTCTTAGTAATCAGATTATTACAAGTAACAATTTTCTATCAAGTATTTCAATACCTGAAATAGCTTCTGTTTCTCTGAAACTTTATTTTCAAACTGTCTGCGTGAAGCAGTACTTATGGTCCTTTGGGCAATTTGACGCAGAGCCTGAAATGCAAAGTGCAGACATATTAAACAAATGCAGGACCTAAAGAAAACTACAAAACCCGTCATTTCAGTCTCTCATACTATAAACCAAAACAAACAAGAAACCCTCTACTGTAGCTTTGACTCCAACTCAGAAAGACCCTCAAGAACAGGGGACTGCTCCACAGACTTTGAGGACGTAATATTTTATAGAAGCTGATTGTCTCAGCTGGCTCATGTCAAACACCAATCTGTCAACCTTTTGTTTAGGGATCCAATGCTTGGCCCAATATAAATAGAAGAGAGAATTTGACATTTAGAGCACATCTAGTTTGTCATATTGAGTTGTAGACCAGCATCTAGGTTTTCCAATTGTGATCCACTCACTACTCTTCATACTACATCTATTGTCTCCAAAGTCCGCATTCAAGAAGCAATTCATGCAGGTTCTGAACAACAAAAAATCTTGATCCTCAATTGAACCAGTAGCATATTATAATCCTTATGGAAAACACATGGATGCTGAATAAAGAAAAAATGCGGACAACCAAAATAAACTTAATAATCTACTGAATGAAAACAAACGATACTGGTATAATTCCTACTTACAGTGCTTGAATTACATTTTCCGAAATTCTTAAATAGGGTATAATTTTTTTTTAAGTTCTGCATCCAGTTGAATTAAAAGAAACAAATATGCACGCCATGTTCTAAAACAAATAGATTTTGATCCTACATAAAATGCTATTGAATAATTACACCCCCTCCCAAAAGGGTCACTGTTATTTATTCTTTTTGAATTTGTAAAATTATTGCGCTTGTTCAAAGTCTGTAGAAAGGTGAAGGGCAGAGACAGCAAACCTCCTGGTAGCATCACGACCTTTCAGCCATAACTACTTCTAAAACACAAGCAGCTTTTTAAACTGCATTCTGACACTCGCGTACAGCAGAACCATTTACTCTTAGTCTTTTAGCAGGAAGGAAGCACCCTTCTGTCGGGTGCTTCCGGGTGTCAGAAATTCCTCACTAGGAGCTCGTTTTTTTTCCGGATCAGAGGTGATAAATCTTAACAATGACCCATCAAACTATCCAGAGGTGGAGACAAAGACGCCCACGTCCTGCAGACCCTTTATCAGTGTCTCCTCTCCCTCTCCCTCCCCAAGCAGGCCTGCGGAAAGAATGGATGCAAGGGAACGTAAGGTCAGGGGAAAGGACGCAGCTCAAGGTCAGCTTATTAGACGCTTCCCACCCACTTACTTCCAGGCGTTTCTGTTAACGATCCTAGAACGCCTCCACCCTTTTCCCTACGCCCCTGCGCGAACGCAACGGGGGAAACTCACTTGTAGATTGCGCAGCATCTCGGCTCTGTTCCTAGCGACCCAACGCCGCGACAACTGTAGCCAGCAACGGAGAGGGTCACACCGGAACCGGAACTACCCGCTCGCCGTTGCGCAAGCGCCACGGAGGTGCGGCACCTCCGACCAGCGCTTCCGACCGCTGGAGGCGACCGGCAGGCCGCGCGAGCGGCGCGCCGACGTGCCGTTCGTCACGTGGTCTCGCTTCGGTTGCCGAGGCGGCGGCAGTTTCTGGAACGCAGGCTAGAGAGGGTAACGCTTTTTGAGGTACAGAAATGCGGGTGATGACGTTTGAAATGCTTCTTAACCGCTTAGATCACACTAAAGTGAGCTCGGGCTCTAAAGGAAAGAAACTAGTATGTTACTTTGAGCAGGTGATTACGTCAGGGCTGTCAGCAGCGGACCAAACGGAGGCCGGCCGAACTAGCCGCGAGGCCACGCCAAGTAGGAAGCCGAGCTACTAACTGGTCTTACGTGAGTACAAGCAGTTCCTCCGATGAAACGGTCGTGAGAGCGTTACGGTTCCGTGTGCTGAGACGACGCGGGCCAGCCTCGGGATACCAACGTTTATGCTGCATTTCGTTGCCGCAGAACGCCCCATGCCAGAAGCTCCTCCACAGTGTCCCCAAGTTGTGGAAGCTGTTCGCTAGTCTGGGAAAACGCTGAAAAGTGGGAGATTGCTTTTTAATTGGGGGAAAGAGGTGGGATGGACAAATCTGGACTCAGATCTTGCTGCCTAGCTCATGGTTGGAGTTGCCGGGAATAGGTAGGCTGTACAGATGCAGAGATCTTATATCAGCCGCGCATAAATCATCCCATATTGCAAGTGCCTTTACTCCCAGCACTCCCCCACAAGGTGTACACATAGACTCTTAAACATATCCTCTGCCATAATGTCTTTCGGCTTTGTTACAATCATTTCACTATACAACTTCAAAAAGGAAGTTGGTGGTATATATATAAAGTTAGCATATGGGAAAAATGTAGAAAAGCTATTTCTGCTAACCCTTGGGGCTGGATAGGGGGTGGGCAGATTGGTTCCAAATTCTTTCTTGGCAAGGTCTATAAATAATTGATTCTTAGCTTAGGCTGAAAGGACAGGGAACCCCACTCCCATATTATGCATGATTTGGAATCCACGAAGCGGCAGTGAGTTTGGAGTTGGTTAACCAAATCCTTTAGTAACTTTAGTGTCAATAGCTGAGATGTAGAGATTTTTAGAAAGCTAATTGTGTTTAATTTGAACTAAATGTTGTGTGCTCTCTTAGCCAACTAGGATATAGAATCCTTTTAAAAAACAAACTCACCCAGTCATCTAGTCCATCCTGACTCATAGCAACCCCATAGGACAGGGTAGAATTGCCGCAGTGGGTTTCTGAGCCCATAAATCATTAGGGTTGTAGAAAGTCTCATTTGTCTCCCACAGACAGCTAGTGGTTTTGAACTGCTAGCCTTGTAAGTCGCCCAATACTCACTATCCCACAAGGGTTTCTTACTGCTTAATGTAAGTGTTCACTAAATGACATGAATGATATAGTAAGTGATCCAAGAAATTTATAGCTTTTTAAAAAGGATTTACAGTAAATATATCCTAATGTAAATATTTGGTGTATATATAGAGCCTAATGTGTATGTCACTTAGCACAGCACAATTTCCCCTTTTCTGGTCCATCTCTTAGCATGTATATTCCCAAATTAAAATTTTAAATCCTGTACTATTTTGTCTCCCTTGAAGTAAAGACTATATTTTGTTTCCTCTTTTCCCATCTTAGTTGAACTCCTATTTCATTAGACATTTATGGCTCTTGTGGTGGTTACACAGTGGCGACTAACCACAAGATCAGCAGTTCAAAACCACCAGCTGCTCTAAGGGAGAAAGGCAAGGCTTTATTCTCCCTTAAAGAGTTAGTGTCTCGGAAACTCACAAGGGGTAGTTATACTTTGTTTTATGGGGCCAATATGAGTCAAAGTTGACTTGCTGGCAATTGAGTTTGGTTGTTTTAAAATTTACTTCTCTTGTTAGAATCACTATGGCGTCCATGCTACTAAATGAAATGTCAATGCTCAAGTTCATCTTTTCTCCATCAGTCAGCATCATACACAAGTCAGTTATTCCCTAGTACATAACATGCATGAATAGTTTGAAACACAACACTAACTACTCGTTTACTGGTTCTATTTCAGGAGCTTAGACCCTTATCCTTTTAACTTCTTAGAGCACCTCACCGGGTTTCTACTTTGACCTTTTTGCAGTCTCAATCCAATGGCTTGAAGTATAATTCCTGTGCTATAACTTTTCACTTACTTCCAGGGAAACCTTTTCCTTTCATGGCAGACAGCTCCACCTCAATATCTAAAGGGCTTCTCATACTTACAACCAAAACTGTATTCTACTCTTAGTCCAGAGCCTCAACTCCTGACTGTTTCTTTTCGTCCGTAGCCACGTCCATCCTATTAGAATATTCTTTTGGCTGCTCTGTCAAAATAATAACTTGAATCTGATCACTTCTCATTATCTTCACCACTACCACTCTAGTCTAAGCCTTCATCTCTGGTTTATATTATGGCCCAGATCTTTCTTAACTAGTTTCTCGGCTTCCACTCTTCTACTCATTCTAGCTAGCTTCCATGAAGCACTTATCTTTTGATAAGCTGAAGTCAGATAATCCCTTTGTTCAAAATTTGTGTTTGCTCACTGCTTTAAGCCTAGCACCTAGAAAATATGCTCCATAAGCATTGACTAATATGCACAAGGCTTATTTTATTGAACACTAAAGAATTAAAGATCTTTAGGACTTATACTTCATCCAAACATTGTTCAGTTCCAAGGTTTCTCACTCATTTTTCTCCTTGCCTCTTGCTCTGTAAACAGTGATTAACCTTGTAAATCGATCCTCTCTCTGATGCATGTTGGGCAGATCAGGTTTTCAACATTTTATGTTCTTGTTTTTTCATATTGAATTTATCTCAGATGCATTTTGTCATTGGGGATAACGCTCTTGCTCTATGTTTTTTGTTATATGTTTTTCTGGTTTTCTGTATATGAAACCCAGGGTTGATGAACCTATAGAGACGGCAAGTAGAATAAGGCTTTCGGGTGGAGGGTGGAGGGAAAGGAGAGCTGATATCAAGGAGTTCAGGAAGGAAGAGAATGTTTTCAAACTGACTGTGGTAGAAATTGTACAATACTGCATGATGTGACTGAACTATGGAATGATATATCTGTATTGGCTCCCAACAAAATGGTTTTGAAAAATAAAACAAAAAAATATCACAGCAAGTAATAGTTAAAAAAATGTACTCTGCAGCTACAATAATCAAAATAGCTTGATACTGGTTCAACAAGAAACATATAGCCCAAAGGAAAATAATTGAGAACATAAAAATAAATCCACCCATCTATTGGCAGCTAGTCTTTGACAAAGGATCTAAGGTCATTCAATGGAGAAGAAATTGTTTCTTTAACAAATGATACAGGCAAAACTAGTCATCTATTTGCAAAAAAAACCCAATTCATACCTCACAAAAACAAACTCTAAAACTAAAATTTCTGGAACATAAACCAGTAACAACCTGCTGCTGTTAAGAGTTGCTATTAGGTAGGCTCTGACTCAGCACCCCTGTAAGTAACAGCACAAACTACTACTCAGTGCTCCATCCACACACTCATTCCTGTGAGTTCATTCTTGCAGCCACTGAATCCCTCCATCTCCTTGAAAGCCCCCCCCCCCAACTTTTTATGACTCTAATGTCCTGTTCCAGGGTCTGGTCGTTCCTTAGTCTACATCCAAAATATGTAAGACTATGTCCTTCTTCTCTTGCTTCTAAGGAGCATTTTGGTTATACTCTTCAAGACAGACTTGACCGTTCTTACAGTCCATGCTTTGTTTACTGTCCTTCGCCAGTACCATAATTCAAACAAGTCTTCAGTCTGTCTTATTCACTGTCCAGCTTGTGCGTGCATATGAGACAACTGAAAATGCCATGGCCCGAGTTAAGCATCCATTAGCCTTCCAAGTGATATCTTTGCTCTTTTAACATTTTAAAAAGGTATTTTGCAAAATTGTCCAAAGTAGTATGTTGTTTAGTTCCAATTGCTTCTATGGGCATTGTGGATGACTCTATGTAAAAATGTAAAAAAAAATTGAATAATTGACATTAACCTTTTCTCAAATGTTATGATGTTGCTTCATAGCTCAGTTATAAAGTTTTTATGTTGAAGAGTAACCCAAATCAAAGGCTTTGGTTTTCAACAGGAAGTGCTTCAAATCCTCCGATCTCTGCAAGCCAGGTCGTGCCATCCATATGTCGCAAGTTGTTACTCTTCCTTCCATCCTGATGCAGTTCTTCATAGAGTGCAGCTTCTCAAATCATTTATTCAGCATACACTCTGAACAAGTATGACTAAAGGATGAAGCCTCTTTCCTAATTTGAACCCATGCAGTTCTAACAACTGTGTCTTGGTTTATGTACAGTTTCTGCATGAGCATAATTAAACCTTCAGGAATTCCCATTCTTTACAGTGTTATCCACAATTTGTTAAGACCCACATAAAAAATTAAATTGCATAAATAGCCTATTAAAAACAGCTAATTATGCATGACAGTAGGTAATTTAGACAACTAGAACCTCCAACAAATTCAACATGAGAGTAAGTCAAAAGCACTTGACGTCATACATGTGTGGATTTATTCCAACCAAAGCATGCATAAAAGTCTCTGCAATCAGTGGGTGGCTGTACATGAGTTCTCTCAACAATACACTTGTCCCTGTCTTGTTAGAATGCCTTTGAAAGCGGGGGGCGGGGGGGGGGGTTCATGTCATGGAAAAATTGATTTTGAGGTAAGCACTAAAATAAACTTTTTAATAAAATTCAAGCCAACATCTTCCTAAATCATGACAGCTTTGCAACAAGTTTATGGGAATGCTGCCACACATAAGGAATACTAGTGGTTAAGTATTGGGAAGCTAACTGCCAGGTCAGCTGTTTGAAACCACCAGTTGCTCCATGGATGAAAGGCAGGTCACTCTACTCCTACAGAGGTACACTCTTAGAAACACAGGGGCAGTGCTGCCTTGTCCTATAGA